CTGCACTAACTATGTTTTGCCAGTAGTTCCACCCTAGCCTCTAGGTCTGAACTTACCTTCATCATCCTCACCTGCCTTGACTAATTCCAGTTCCTACAAAAGGCTACACCCAACTGAACTACTCTACAATCCAGCTTTATTTTCAACCTGCTCCGTACCAACATGAAATACTCTACAATCCAGCTTTATTACCAACCTGCTCCGTACCAACCTGAACTACTCTACAATCCAGCTTTATTACCAACCTGCTCCGTACCAACCTGAGCTACTCTACAATCCAGCTTTATTACCAGCCTGCAACATACCAACCTGAACTACTCTACAATCCAGCTTTATTACCAACCTGCTCCTGTACCAACCTGAACTACTCTACAATCCAGCTTTATTACCAACCTGCTCTGTACCAACCTGAACTACTCTACAATCCAGCTTTATTACCAACCTGCTCTGTACCAACCTGACTACTCTACAATCCAGCTTTATTACCAACCTGCTCCGTACCAACCTGAACTACTCTACAATCCAGCTTTATTACCAACCTGCTCCGTACCAACCTGAACTACTCTACAATCCAGCTTTATTACCAACCTGCTCCATACCAACCTGAACTACTCTACAATCCAGCTTTATTACCAACCTGAACTACTCTACAATCCAGCTTTATTACCAACCTGCTCTGTACCAACCTGAGCTACTCTACAATCCAGCTTTATTACCAACCTGCTCCGTACCAACCTGAGCTACTCTACAATCCAGCTTTATTACCAACCTGCTCCGTACCAACCTGAACTACTCTACAATCCAGCTTTATTACCAACCTGCTCCGTACCAACCTGAACTACTCTACAATCCAGCTTTATTACCAACCTGCTCCGTACCAACCTGAACTACTCTACAATCCAGCTTTATTACCAACCTGCTCTGTACCAACCTGAGCTACTCTACAATCCAGCTTTATTACCAACCTGCTCCGTACCAACCTGAACTACTCTACAATCCAGCTTTATTACCAACCTGCTCTGTACCAACCTGAACTACTCTACAATCCAGCTTTATTACCAACCTGCTCCGTACCAACCTGAACTACTCTACAATCCAGCTTTATTACCAACCTGCTCCGTACCAACCTGAACTACTCTACAATCCAGCTTTATTACCAACCTGCTCCGTACCAACCTGAACTCTACAATCCAGCTTTATTACCAACCTGCACTCTACAATCCAGCTTTATTACCAGCCTGCTCTACAATCCAGCTTTATTACCAACCTGCTCCGTACCAACCTGACTCTACAATCCAGCTTTATTACCAACCTGCTCCGTACCAACCTGAGCTACTCTACAATCCAGCTTTATTACCAACCTGCTCCGTACCAACCTGAACTACTCTACAATCCAGCTTTATTACCAACCTGCTCCATACCAACCTGAGCTACTCTACAATCCAGCTTTATTACCAACCTGCTCCGTACCAACCTGAGCTACTCTACAATCCAGCTTTATTACCAACCTGCTCCGTACCAACCTGAACTACTCTACAATCCAGTTTTATTACCAACCTGCTCCGTACCAACCTGAGCTACTCTACAATCCAGCTTTATTAACAACCTGCTCCGTACCAACCTGAACTACTCTACAATCCAGCGTTATTACCAACCTGCTCTGTACCAACCTGAACTACTCTACAATCCAGCTTTATTACCAACCTGCTCCGAACTGAACTACTCTACAATCCAGCTTTATTACCACCTGCTCCGTTCAACCTGAACTACACAATCCAGCTTTTGTACCAACCTGAACTACTCTACAATCCAGCTTTATTACCAGCCTGCTTCGTACCACCTGAACTACTCTACAATCCAGCTTTATTACCAACCTGCTCCGTACTCAACCTGAACTACTCTACAATCCAGCTTTATTACCAACCTGCTCCGTACCAACCTGAGCTACTCTACAATCCAGCTTTATTACCAACCTGCTCCATACCAACTGAACTACTCTACAATCCAGCTTTATTACCAACCTGCTCCGTACCAACCTGAACTACTCTACAATCCAGCTTTATTACCACCTGCTTACCAACCTGAACTACTCCACAATCCAGCTTTATTACCAACCTGCTCCGTACCAACCTGAACTACTCTACAATCCAGCTTTATTACCAACCTGCCCATACCACCCTGAGCTACTCTACAATCCAGCTTTATTACCAACCTGCTCCGCTCTACCAACCTGAACTACTCTACAATCCAGCTTTATTACCAACCTGCTCCGTACCAACCTGAGCTACTCTACAATCCAGCTTTATTACCAACCTGCTCCGTACCAACCTGAGCTACTCTACAATCCAGCTTTATTACCAACCTGCTCCGTACCAACCTGAACTACTCTACAATCCAGCTTTATTACCAACCTGCTCTGTACCAACCTGAACTACTCTACAATCCAGCTTTATTACCAACCTGCTCCGTACCAACCTGAACTACTCTACAATCCAGCTTTATTACCAACCTGCTCCGTACCAACCTGAACTACTCCACAATCCAGCTTTATTACCAGCCTGCTCCGTATCAACCTGAACTACTCTACAATCCAGCTTTATTACCAACCTGCTCCGTACCAACCTGAGCTACTCTACAATCCAGCTTTATTACTAACCTGCTCCATACTACCTGAACTACTCTACAATCCAGCTTTATTACCAACCTGCTCCGTACCAACCTGAACTACTCTACAATCCAGCTTTATTACCAACCTGCTCCATACCAACCTGAACTACTCCACAATCCAGCTTTATTACCAACCTGCCCTGTACCAACCTGAACTACTCTACAATCCAGCTTTATTACCAACCTGCTCCGTACCAACCTGAGCTACTCTACAATCCAGCTTTATTACTAACCTGCTCCATACTACCTGAACTACTCTACAATCCAGCTTTATTACCAACCTGCTCCGTACCAACCTGAACTACTCTACAATCCAGCTTTATTACCAACCTGCTCCGTACCAACCTGAGCTACTCTACAATCCAGCTTTATTACCAACCTGCTCCATACCAACCTGAGCTACTCTACAATCCAGCTTTATTACCAACCTGCTCCGTACCAACCTGAACTACTCTATAATCCAGCTTTATTACCAACTTGCCCTGTACCAACCTGAGCTACTCTACAATCCAGCTTTATTACCAACTTGCCCTGTACCAACCTGAACTACTCTACAATCCAGCTTTATTACCAACCTGCTCCGTACCAACCTGAACTACTCTACAATCCAGCTTTATTACCAGCCTGCTCCATACCAACCTGAACTACTCCACAATCCAGCTTTATTACCAACCTGCTCCGTACCAACCTGAACTACTCTACAATCCAGCTTTATTACCAACCTGCTCCATACCAACCTGAGCTATTCTACAATCCAGCTTTATTACCAACCTGCTCCGTACCAACCTGAACTACTCTACAATCCAGCTTTATTACCAACCTGCTCCGTACCAACCTGAGCTACTCTACAATCCAGCTTTATTACCAACCTGCTCTGTACCAACCTGAGCTACTCTACAATCCAGCTTTATTACCAACCTGCTCCATACCAACCTGAGCTACTCTACAATCCAGCTTTATTACCAACCTGCTCCGTACCAACCTGAACTACTCTACAATCCAGCTTTTACCAACCTGCTCCGTACCAACCTGAACTACTCTACAATCCAGCTTTATTACCAACCTGCTCCGTACCAACCTGAGCTACTCTACAATCCAGCTTTATTACCAGCCTGCTCCATACCAACCTGAGCTACTCTACAATCCAGCTTTATTACCAGCCTGCTCTGTACCAACCTGAACTGCTCTACAATCCAGCTTTATTACCAACCTGCTCCGTACCAACCTGATCTTCTCTACAATCCAGCTTTATTACCAACCTGCTCCATACCAACCTGAACTACTCTACAATCCAGCTTTATTACCAACCTGCTCTGTACCAACCTGAACTACTCTACAATCCAGCTTTATTACCAACCTGCAACATACCAACCTGAACTACTCTACAATCCAGCTTTATTACCAACCTGAACTACGCCTCTATCCTGCTTTATCTTGCCAACCTGCTCCATACCAACCTGATCCTCACAACCGACCTGCTCTATACGAAGCTGCTTAACACGAACCTGGACTAAGCTACTAATTATTATTGCATGGTGTTATATACCTGCTTTATCAGTTTTCCTTCCTATTCTCCCTGTAATTCCTGAAAACCTACTGTTCTGTCCTGTTTACTTGTTTACTAGTTTCTCTATATAACCTATATTTTATCTATAGGTATTTGCTTCTGTCTAATTTTATCCTGTTTTATAACCTGTCTGGGGCATATTGCCTAAACCTCTTTTTCTCTTATTTTCCTTCTCCGTATAATTTCACTTATAGGATTTTCTGTTACGTTATTATGTCCAAACTCACCAATAAAGAACCTAATGTTAACTCTGGCCAAAGTGTCTTACCAGACCTGCTCAAGACTATGACAGGAACGTATACCTGTAGATGGGATTTTCGCTCTAAATTCAGGCCTAAGGAATAAAAAAACATTATTAGTAGTAGTAATTGCTAATCCTTCAAGGAGACACTTTTCAGGAAGGAGAACACGTTTAAACTTAAACACAATATAACTGGTTTTCACAACGAAATCCTAAATATAATGCCAACAATTTTATTTGTAGGTAACCCGAAAAAGCAATCTAAACACAATCTTTGTTTTATCTTACTTTTATATGTAAACCATGCATTATTAGTTCTAAATAAAGAGTCCTTTTGTGGTAATGAAGGGTTAATACTGCTGATGGCGTTGGAGAAAGAACGTAGATTGTGTTCATTACCACCCTAATGTAATGAGTATTTTCATACTGAAAATAAACCATAGTGGCAGAATAGTGAGAAATAAAGCATTTTACCGGGACATTCCAAGCAATGTCTGTGAGATAAGGCTTGTTTCCATAATTAGACTGATGGGTCGCTGCGTTGCCGTGGAGCGCGTGACCTCATTGTGTAAGTAAGACGTGGTCAATCACACAGAGGTCTTTGTAGCCTTCAACGACAAAGTAGGTGTTTTTGCACCTTTTGCGATCAGTGGTGGTTTATAACCTGCAGAATGGATAGGAAAAACTTGCATCTCCTGGTCAGGAGTGGACTGAGATCGGTCATGGACCAAGAGCTTTAGGCAGTCAGGGGCCCGGCTAAACAGCCATGCTCTGGTTGAAGAGATCTGAGATCTCCCAAGTTAAAAAGGCTACTTGTAAAGTTGCACATGGGGGGTGGGAGGGGGGCGCTAATTGTGATGCCACCAGCAAACACACAGGAAGTGTGTCATTAAATTTGCTTTATTTCTTTAATTGCTGGGGGGGAGGGGGGGGAGGGAGGGCATGCCAGCAAGGATTACTACATCCATAAGCAATGTTTTCTTAAACCACTGTTTTTGGTTGAAGTAACCCCATAAAGGTAAATCTGGCCCTGATTGGGGGCCCTGTGGGTATGGGAGTCATCACAGTGCGGCTCTCGTATATGGGTGCTTGGCAGCGAACACATAATATCTTTATGATAGCCGTATAGAGAAGGTGTAATAGAGTAGGAGAAGCCAAAATCCCTCTACCAGGAGGGGCGCCTCTGATCCCCTGCCGCTCTAGGACCCTGTGATTTTTCATTCCATTCCTGCTCCCGTTAAAGCAGATTAACAGCGCAGAAGTTGTAATTCAACAAAATGTTGCATGTTTTCACCTAGTGCAGGATTCTCCAAACTCTGGCCCTCCAGATAATACTGAACTACAACTCCCATAATTCTCTGACTGTCTATTTCATTCAAAGAATCATGGAAGCTGTAGTTCAGCAACATCTGGAGGGCCAGACTCTGGAGAACCCTGGGGTGGAAAAAAACCCATGGGAAACTGATCCAAGATGTAACAACGATAAGGTTCCTGAGGACATGCAACATTTGATGTTAACCTTTTCCACTTAAGCTGTTCTAGAATTCCACAACAGATGGAATTCAACACGTTAACTCTCACCATTAGCTGTAATAGACATGACAACCAGCGGGTCTCCAAACACACCATCAACCAAGAGCATTTCATAGCGAATGACCAAATACTGGAAACATAAAGCAGAGAGAAAGGGGGGGAAGTAGATACCCAGCTGTTAAGGCTAGCAAGCATCATTGGAATCGTAGTTTGTCAACAGTTGGGATATTACCATTGACTATCTCTGATTCAAATTTTCATTTGCATTTAGTACAGACATGTAACATCCCAAAACTGCTAGAGCGTCATGGGAGTTAGATCTTATAAGACAGGGTGCCTTTAACCCACCAAGACAGTTAAATGTCGTTAAAGTAAATATTACGTTTAGAATGTAAATAGATACATTGCACATAATAAATGCTTTCTTACGGTAAAGCATTGGATTGGTTGAGCAGGACGAGACAGCGGCAACAAGACCATTTAAATACCTTTTTAACAGGGGGCCTAAACAGCGATTAATAAACCATAGTTTCAGGAATACAAACATATATTCTGTGGTGTTTCTTTAATAGGTATTGTGTTTTAAGAATAATAAATCTTGTGAACCATTTCTAACTCTATTAATTGACTGAAACATTCTATGGATAGAATAACATTATGTAACATATATCAAGCATATTTCACTCTTGTACATAGAACCTAATATCCAATCTACATCTGCGTTCCTTAATTTTCCCTTTGCGGGTGACGGTCTCCTGGAAGAAACGTTTTCGGCAGGATTCTTTGTCAGCTAAGGACATTGGGAATCATCCACATAATTGCGGTTATTAGTATGTGGGGGAAATGCTATCTGCATATTCTGCCATATGTTAATTTCTCCAGAACGCTCGTCACTCAATATTCCTGTTAAACCAATAAAACTGTATTAAAAGGAATGACAATACTTTATCATTTTGCATCCGTTTATTTTTTTGTAATTCTGTTTTTATTGCATCACAGATATGTTGTATCTTGCTACGGATACATACCGTAAGGAACATGTCGGTGAAAGCATATTGATCTACGCTACTATACTTGCTTACTGTAAAGATAATAAATTGGCAATCAAAGTTAAATATAAATAATTTAAGATTTTTGCTGATTTTGCTTGCTTGAATTATGCATTGTCTTCGATCCAGGACCCAATGAGTTAAACTGATGTCGAACTAGAAAGATGTCAGTGTATTGCAAGACTGTGAAATGGTTATAATGGGTATCTAAATGAGTAGGCAAGGAAATGATGGGAATTCAGCACAATTAGACCGTACAAAACATCACATTGATTAGAGCAGAATAACCCTCGTTTTATTCTCTGTGCTCCACGTGCCTTGCTCCTATTTAGCAAAAGGCCACAAAGGCACAGAAAGTTGCATGTTTGGGGCCCTTTTAGTTTGGTCGCGGTTGATGACAGCTTTGTAAAACAGAACCACGAGGAGGATTGTTCAAGGGCCTCCTAGTGGGAGACTGTAGGTTTAAATGTCACTCATTCATTCTTTCTAACAATCGTAGGTAGCTGAAATCATTGGCAGAATTCCTTGCATACCAAGAAATGTGCCTGGTAGTTAATGAGTGGTTTCCACTGAGCTCACTGCCTTTATGCCTTTTTCTATTGTAGCCCCACTGTCTGCACAGCGTGTCCAGGAGAAAATAGCTAAGTCAGCGTGGAAACCAATAAAGGAGACTGATAGGGAATCCTGTAAGTAATTAAGAGAAGATTTCTAATTATTTAATCATTGTATTTATTTCAGTCTCTTGTATATACAACATAAAAGGGTGCATTACGAAATCACATAATTTACAAACGTGCAGCAAAGTCATCCTAAATCATACTTATTGTATTGCCAACTGCACCCCTCAAATACACGTGTAACCCACTCCAAATATATATAAATAATTTGTAACACATAGTCTTCAAATTCTACGAGTTTAGAATCAAATTGAAAATATAGGATGGAGACAGGGACCAATTAAATCAAATAAATAGTCCAGCAGAGTATGAAGTAAGTATTTTGAAGGATTCTAGAACCTCTGTGTTCTTGTAGAAGGTAAAATAATGGAAGACGTATGATGTATCTGTGGATGAATAAAGATGACATTTTTGTAGAAGAAATAGAGGAAACAAAGTTTATTATAGGAAGAATGTTTGGCATTGGAGGAATAATTAATAATCGCACAAATGGAATCATAAGGATGAAATATTTTAACCATCAGATGAGTCTCAGACAAGCATTTAGTTCATAGTAGACATTTAGGTGGCCAGGGTACCATATTGAATGTGGTTCTTAGAAGCTTTTTTCAAGAGAGATATATTGGAAGAATTTGTGGAAGATGATGTTGACTATGATAGACAGGAGAAATATTGAAGAAGAACAAAACTTTTTGAAGAATATTGAAGAAGAAAGTTATTGGCATAACGAAAGTCGATGTTGATGACATTAGGACGTTCATCATGCGTGCAATGTGGAGAAGTAGAAATTAGATTTTGGTTGCTTTTTGAAATAGTTTAAACCAAGAAATGATTTGTATGTATTCTGTAAACAATATCAAATGTGTGATTGATTACAGGCAAAATACAAGAATGCAAACAATAAATGTAGGGCCAAGTACCAGATTGGCCGGTCCCAAGCAAGCAATCACATGCAGATATAATTATCTTTCTCAAGCTTCCAAGTGCATAGCACAAAGCTAACAACCACAGAGCCAACCCGCTTTCCTTTTTTTTTTTTGATGAAGCACGTTTATATTAAGTTTAGTTCTGCTTAACTATACAGCTCACTAATTCAAATTATGGCCCTTCGGTGGGATGATGTGTGAAAAAACAAAACTATCGGATTTCCATGGGAACTCACAATTCTACGCAGCTGTATAAATGCACAGAACTGAGTATACCTTGTCCTCCCAACAGCGCACACTGTGGCAGTGCTACAATTCTATAGAATTTCTTAGATTACTTCTGCCATCTCCAACTATAAATCGGTTAGACACTCTAACGTTAAGCTTTGATTGAAATTCATATGCATTATTTTTATATGTTTGCTATTACTTGACATGCATTGTACATTAATCCATTATATTCCCTAAGTTTATTGCACGATAGTACTTGATCTTTTTAATATATGGATTATATTCGATGATCACCAACAGTGGACTTTTGGCAAGTTGCAAATCAAGTAATGAGATTTGTCAACACTAGCAGCTGCGGTCAAATCTGGGTACCCATGTAGGCATCCGACATATTCTAAAGCCTTTTTGAAATATTATGACCCCAATAGCAACTCCATACATCTTCGAGAAAGGATGCAAATTTTTACCATCTGTTTCCTGATACAACAGCAGACCAATGCATATTGTACCAGATAAATAAAATAGAATAGAGATACAAATATGAAATATTTGTATGTGTGATTTCCCAATATAAACCTGACATGCTTACGTGGTTTAGACCTCTTAAGAAGAAAGAAGAGATATCTTTGTTGAAATTCATAAAGTGCTTAGTTGTATTATTTTATAAAGTCAGAAAAGTATTCTTATTGTAAGAGGAGATCAATGGAATTGTGACGATAAGTCATCATTATGATGATTTTATTCTGCATAAAGCAAGGGTGGCATTGGGGATCGTATCTTTTGTACATAGCCTGTTATTTCCTAAAGACCACAAAGAAAAACACAATTTCAGTTTAATTTTATATTATATATTTTGTATGTATATTACAGCCTCAGTTACAATCCTCTTTTTGTTTTGTTTGATAGCGGTTACTGTACTTTAACCAGTTGTGCATGTTTGTTTTCAACGAAATCAAAACACAAAAATGTCTTAACCACTTTCTGTTACGAATGTCATCTTAGGCCTCAGTTTAATATTGTTGGGTACGTTTTTTAAAATGATTTATTTCAAAATATAATACTATCAAAAAATATCTGAATATTACAGAATTATATATATTTTTAATAATTGAAATCATTTTAAAAGTCTATCCAACATAAATCTGCATTAAAATGAAGGGTGGGTTTTTCATCTTGAGAAGACGCTGTCGCTGAGCCTTTTATCCTAATTTTGATATAAAACATAATGCACAACAAATAATACATGTATGATGGATTATGCATGTACTGTGATGTATATAACTAAGAAATAAAATAGAAACATATAAACACTCTAGCAACGA